CCCCGGGGTCACCAGGGGGCCCCCCAGGGGGCCCCCCGCTATCCGGGGGGGGCCCGGAATTAAAAGATTTGTATTTGTTGGAGAAGATTCACTAGCAAAAGAAGTGGAAGGTGTAGAGACACCCCAAGTGATCCTTGGACTCAAGACATCATCTGGCTGGAGAAAGGCGGCGTCGCCATCCTTGTCTGCGATGGTCAGCTGCTGCATAGCTGCTGCTGCTGCTGCTGCTGCTGCTGCTGGGGCCGCGGCAGCCGCAGCAGCTGCTGCTGCTGCTCTGCTGCTGGGGCCGCGGGGCGGGCTGGCTGACGGTGGGCGCGGGTTCCTGGCCGGCCCCCCGCCGCATGCTTCAGAAAGGGCAAGCAGCAAAGAAGCTGCGGGCTGCTGCTGTTGCTGCTGCAGTGCTGCTGCAGCGTTTAGGCATCTGCTGCGGTGTCTTCTCCAGATAGAGCTGCTCGGGCTACCTGGGCAGAGCCGGAGTTGCTGCTGGGCGCTGGCTCATGAATTCTGCGCGGAGGAGGCAGCGGGGGCGGCAGGCGCCGCTGCTGCTGCTGCTGCAGCGGCTTCGCTGCTGCTGCTGCTGCTGCTGCTGGCGCTGCTGCGCTGCCACTGGCACGCCCCAGCAGCAGCTCCGCAGCAGCAAACAGCCACGGGGGCCTTCGGGCTCGCGGACTTCGTCTGTCTTCTCCAGAAACTCTAGAGAGCCCCGCGAACAGGAATCTGTCGAAGTCCGAGAGGGAACAGCGGGAGGAGCATCGAGCTAGCCGCGAAGTGCTGCGGCTGCTGCTGCAGCGCCTGGCCTCTGTTCAGCCCAGATTTGGGAAAAGGACAAAAGAAAAGGCGAAGCAAAGAAAGGACAAATTCATATTTTAGAAGGACACCCACGGATCGCCTCGCCGCAGCTCCACAGCCACCTCGGGCCGATTTTGCATGCCTTGCCAAGAAGTAACCTGCACTCGCGGGCTTTCTTAGCTCCGGAAAAGAACCGCGAGAAGAAAATATTAAAACAAAATAAACCCGATTCAAATTCAACGCTTTACCTGCAACTGAACTAACTTCTCCCCCACACGGGCAGCGATCTTTCCGCCAAGTTGGATTCGGGTGTACAGGCACCTCGCGCGTGCCACAGCTCGCCGCCCACTATTTGCCAATTGGAATTGTTTTGAGAACTGTTGAAAGTGTTTAAAGTGCCCGTCGCGCGAGGGAGCTGTCAATACACTCCAAACCCAGCCCTGCGCGGTTACCTGCATCCCAGTTGCGGCGCTGCTCAGCGCCGCTCCCGCAGGCCACCCCCTGCGATCCTCGAGAAACTCCCCGCTAAAGCCCCCTTTTTAGCGCATTTTTCCAATGAAATTCACTTTTATTTTGCAAATGACTCCAACTAATCCCGGAAAACGCCGCTGGCGCGCTGCTTTCCCTCCCCGGCTACGCGCTGGCTCACGCATCCGGACTAGCCCGCCGCCGGGTCTTGTGCATTTTTAGCGCTACTTCCCACGAAATAAACTCTATTTAGCTCCTTCACAATTATCAGGAAGCTTCACTAGTTCCAAGGACTCTCCGGGGCTCCAATTTGCCCCGCTTTCCACTTTCTGAACAGCCAGCCGCCTTCCGCTCTGCTGCGGACGCGAGCTGCTGCTTCGCCCCTGTTCCTTTTTGCTGCTGCAGCAGCACTCTTGCTGCTGCTGCTTCGCCTCCCAGCCACTACACTACTCCTACGCAGACTAGCAGCAGCAATTAGCGCTGAGGGGCTGCTGCGGCCGCGGCTGGCCGGCTGGCTGGCTAGCTAGCAGCAGCTAGCTGTTCGCCGTGGCTAGCTAGCTAGCCACAGGGCTAGCTAGCCGCGGGCCCCCAGCTGCCTCCCCTTTCTGAAACTCCAACTAACAACTAAGACAAACTAGCAGCAACTTAGCAGCTGCATTAATCACTGAGTTCCCCCCAGCCTTTGTTGCGGCTTTGCGCTGCACTGCAAACAAGCCGCGAGGCAGCAGCAGCTGCTGCAGCGACTGCAGCAGCAGCAGCAGCAACAGCAGCAGCTGCTGCTGCTGCAGCAGCTGCTGCTGCTGCAGCAAGCTCCAGAAAAGCTCCCCGCGGGCTACTGAGCCTGAGACGCCAGCTGTCTTTTCTTCCACATTTTCGCCGCCTGCAGAATCTTCAAGTTCTGCGTACAGCAGCGGGGTGTACATACACCCGAAACCCACAAATTAAAAACATTTAAAGCTGCAAAAGCCCATTAGAAATGTCTTCTTTTGTGCATGCACTTCTACAAGTGTCAACTTCATGTTTTATTCTTTATTTATATTTTAATGCTTTTACTTATTTTAAATATAAATATATTTATATCTTATTATTTGTACAGCATATACATATATATATACACTTATATATGAATATATATATATATACATATACATATATAGATTTTATGAATATAAATATAAACATATAAATATATATATATATATAAATCCTACAGCTGCACTAAGGGCCTCAAAGGCTTCGCAGCACTGCAGCAGCAGCAGCAGCAGCAGCAAATACTGCCCGCAGCAGCAGCAAAAACTGCCCGCAGCAGCAGCAGCAGCAGAAGTCACCCGCACCAGCAGGCACAACACGAACGCCACTAGCAGCACTAGCAGCTCTAGCACTGCAGCAGCAGCAACAGTCATACGCAGCAGCAGCAGCAGCAGTGGCAGCAGCAGAAGGAAGCTAAAAAGTGTTTAAAAAGCAACTTGTTAATAAAGAGAAGAAATAAAACGGAAACCCCGCGGGCCAAATTGGGGTGTACGTCCAACTCACCGCTGCAGACCCCTCGTCGTCGGGGAAAACGAAAGTGAGACTTTCTGTCACTTCTTCAACTCCGTTTGCATTTTTTTGAGTTTTTCTTTTTTTTATTTTCTTCGGAAGCAGCCGAAACACCCGCTGGATAGCTGCAGCCTCTCCCCCCTCCCGCTCCAGCGCCAGCCAGTGCTGCAGCAGCAGCAGCAGCAGCAGCAGCGGCAGCAGCGGAGTTGCAGCAGCCGCAGTTCAGTGAGTGCTGCTGCAGCGGGCGGGGGGCTTCGACGGCGCGAGGCCGCAGCCGCAGCAAACAGGCCGATGGCCCTAAACCCTAAACCCTAGTCTCTAAACCCTAATCCCTAGGCTCTAAACCTTAAACCCTAGACCTTGGACAAACTTTCAGCTCCAAGCCTAAACCGCCACCTGAAAACCCTAGCTAGGCCCTCGGCTTGCTGCTGCGAAACCCCCAGTGTGTCCTGGGCTGCAGCCACCTTCCTGCTGCAACTGCAGCAGCAGCAGCAGCAGCAGCGGCAGCAGCAATTTCTTTCAAAAAGTCTTTTGCCAATTTGCTGCTTCTAGACTAACCTCCAGCAGCGCCGCTCGGTCTTCGTCCCACCCATTTGCCTTGCAGACTTCCAGCCCTCTGTTTATTACCTGCAGCAGCAGCAACAGCAGCAGCAGCAGCAGCAGCAGCAGCAGCGCCGGGCAAATGAGGAAGGCTACGACCCAGTGACCACGCCAGCCGCCTGCTGCTGTGCATTGGCTAGCTGATGGCTAGCTGGCTGAGGACAGCCAGTTGGCTAGCTACCTAGCTAGCTAGCTGAAAATGGCTAGCTGGCCAAAGCTGGCTAGCTAGAAAAAGTCGCTACGGCGAGCTTGACCACTACAGCACCAGCACCGCAGCAGCACAGCACAGCAGCAGCAGCAGCAGCAGCAGCAGGACCTGTCTGGCTCTGTCTTTGCTTTCCGCCTTCTTCCACTCGAAGGTGGAATAGCCCTTAAAGGCATTTACGTGCTGCGTCTTGTCCAGCAGCCGCTCGTAAAGGGCCCGGGCCCTGTCGAGGGCCCCCCAGTTCACCTCCATGTCGATGTACGCCTTCCATATCTGCAGCAGCAGCAGCAGCAGCAGCAGCAGCAGCAGCAGCAGCAGCAGCGGCGGCGGCTAGGAGGCGGAGGGTGGGCGGGCAGGGAGGGGCGCAGAGGGCAGCGACGCAAATGCACGACTTGCGACACGGGACAGCCAACTGCCGCCCTAAACCCTAAACCCTAAACCCTAAACCCTAAACCCCAAACCCTAGACCCCAAACCCCAAGCCCTAAACCCCACGCCCTAAACCTAAACCCCAAACCCTAAACCCAAACCCCAAACCCCAAACTCCAAACCCCAAACCTCAAGCCCTAAAGAACCCTAAACCCTAAACCCTAAACCCTAAACCCTAAACCCGCGCACCAGTTCGGGCATTTCCATTTGCTCCATGGAAACGGCGATTTCGCAAATGGCTCTGGCCCTCTCCGTCTCCTCCGCCAGCACCTCCAGTTCTATCATTTGGATCCACGCCTGCACGCCCCGCACACCAGTCCTAGCTAGCTAGCTAGCTAGCTAGCTGGCTAGCTAGCTGGCTAGCCAGCTGGCTAGCTTGCTGGCTAGCTAGCTGGCTAGCTAGCTGGCTAGCCAGCTGGCTAGCTTGCTGGCTAGCTAGCTGGCTAGCTAGTTAGCTGGCTGACTAGCTGGCTAGCTAGCTAGCTGGCTGGCTAGCTGGCTTGATAGCTAGCTGGGCAGCTAGCTGGCTAGCTGGGCAGCTGGCTGGCTGGCTAGCTAGCTAGCTAGCTGGGCAACTCGCTGGGCAGCTGGCTAGCGAGCTAGCTACGCAGCTCTCCAGGGGGCTCCGCGAAACTGGACAACCGTATATTTGAGCTACCCAGCTAGCTAGCGAGCTAGCTAGCTAGCTAGCTAGCTGGCCAGCTAGCTGTTTTGCATATCTCCTAAGAGCCTTTTTGGCTTTTCCCTGTCCGCAACTTCCCGGCTATTTCGGTCTCGGCCTTCTTCGCCGCTAGCTAGCTAAGTGGCTAGCCAGCCGCCACAAGGCTGCCCGTCTAGCTAGCTAGAAGAGTAGCTAGCTAGCTGGCTAGCTAGCTGCCCAGCATTCCAGCTAGCTAGCTAGCTAGCTAGCTGGCTAGCTAGGTGGCAACCAGCTACATAGCTATATCTCCAACTACCCGTCTATCTCTCTAGCTAGTTAGCTAGCCATGCATCTTGCTAGCTAGCCAGCCAGCCAGCCAGCTAGCCAGCCAGCCAGCTAGCTAGCCAGCTAGCCAGCTAGCTAGCTAGTCAGCTAGCTAGCTAGTCAGCTAGCTAGCTAGCCAGCTAGCTAGCTAGCTAGCTAGCTAGCTGCGCACCTTGGGGTTGAGGGGGTAAGTCTCGATGAACTTGGCGTGGATTTGGCGGCACCTGTCGATGTTGCCGAGGCGAAGTTCGAGTTGGGCATAAGCCTGGAAGATTTTCTCTTTGCCGCATTTCCCAATTGCTGCTCCGAATATTTTGCGGGCCCGCTCCAGATTCAGCTGCCGGATCTGCCAGCAGCAGCAGCAGCAGCAGCAGCAGCGGCAGCGAGGCGGGGTAAGGGCGCAGCGCGCGTTCAAAGCGCAGCAACAGCGCGGTGGGGGGTGCTGCAGCAGCAGAACCTGCTGCAGCAGCTCCAGCGGCAGCTGCAGCTGCTACAGAGGAGGCGGCACTGGGGCTTAGGCGGCTCTTGCTGCTGCTGCTGCTGCTGCTGCTGCTGCTGCTGCTGACCTCGAAAGCAACGAAGAGGGTCCAGAGTTTGGCGAAGGAAAAGAGTTTGTGGGGAACAACTTCGAGAGCTTTTTCGTAAACGCTGCGGCAGCGGTCCATGTCTTTGGCCTGCAGCTCTTCGAAGAGTGCATACGAAATCCAAATGTATATGTACCTGCGCAGCAGCAGCAGCAGCAGCAAGTATAAAGCTGCGGCAGGAGCAGCAGCAGCAGCAGCAGCAAGCATACAGCTGCAGCAGCAGCAGCAGCAGCAGGGGCGGCGGAAGAAGCGGCGGCGCCAAACGCTAGAGGGAGCCGCTGCAGGACAGCCAGCGCAGCCACAAGACCAAGCAGCAGCAGCAGCAGCAGCGGCAGCAGCAGCAGCGTGGGCGATCCATCAAAGCGGAGCAGCAAAACCACAAAACAAAGACTAGGAAATTGCAAATGAGGCAGCAATGTTGTTAAAAGAGAAACCAAAGAAGTTGCAAATTAAGACGCAAACATGGAAATTCAAAATCCGAAAAAGTTGCAAGTGCAGCAAAGAACTCGCGGGACAAAAGCTCCAAAAAATGCAAATAAAGCAGCAAATTATTTTTAAAATAAATTGAAAAGAGTTGGAATTAAATCAGCAAACGGAGAAGAAAGGATTTGAGAGAATTCGCAACAGCAGCAAACTCGGAAAACAGAATTCAAAAAGCTGCAGCTGAAAAGACAAATTCAAAATGCGGGAAATTCGCAGAACTGAAAATAAAAAACATAATGGCAATTTTGGAATTAAAATAATTTCAGAAGAAGAGAAAACGCGAAATTTAAAGTTCAAAAGAACGCGGCAAGCTGCAGCAAATGCCAGAACAAGAGTTTGAAAGCGCGTCAGTTCACAGCTTCAAATAGATCGAAATGGAGAAGAAAATAAATAAAATTAATAGAAATAGGAAAAGTATTGCATGAAATTATTAATTTAAAATAGTTATTCATACAACAGCGCATTTGAACATTCAGAATTCAAGTGAAGTGCAGTGGAAAGGCAAATTCATGAATTCAGAACATCAAAGTTGCAAAAAAGCAGCAAGTTGCAAAATTCAAAATGCTGGAGAAAAAGAATATAATTTAGAATTCAAAAAGCTGGAAATAAATTATCAACGTCGAAATTAAATCCAAAAAGCTGCAAATTTCAACTTGAAAACTGCAACTTGAAGCAGCAAATTCGTGAATTCAAAAATCGAAAAGAGCAGCAGGAATGCACGATTCAAGACTTGCAAATGAAGAAACAATGTATAAATTCAAATAAAGAAAGAATTTACAAATTCAAATGAAGGAACAACTTCAAAAAATTAAAAGAAACAAAAACAAAAAAGACACTTCTCAAGTCCAGGATCTGAAAGCTGCACAGCAGCAGCAGCAGCAGCGGTCGGGGGAGGCTCCGGGAGTGGAAACTGGGCGAAACCGGCGGATTTGGAGCGGAAAAAAGAGGAAAAAGAGAATAAAAAGAATAAAAAGGAATAAATAGGAATAAAAAGGAACAAAATGGATTAAATTCCGCGAGATTCCGGCGGATTCGGCAGCCTCGGACCGCGTCCAGTAGCGCTTCTGCAGCACGGGGGGGGTGTTGGCCACAGCTCGCTCGTAAACGTTTCGAGTTCTTTCCACATCTCCTGCTGCTTCTTCCAAACGCAAATAGTCTATCCACCCGTCGTAGTTGCACGGGTTTTCGTGCAGGGCCTCTTCGTAGACGAAACGCCGCTTCGACAGCACCGTCTCCTCCAGCCCCTCCCTGCAGCAGCAGCAGCAGCAGCAGCAGCAGCGGCAGCGGGAGGGGAGGTCGCGAGCTGCGTTGGAACCGCCGAGATGCAGCAGCAGCAGCAGCAGGATGAAACTGGAGCACAGAACTGCACAGGAGCAGCAGATATGCAGCAGCAGCAAGGGGAAGAAGCCGAGGCGGAGAACTGCACAGCAGTAGCGGGAG